CAGCTGGGCTGGCAGCAGCTGGGCACACAGCAGCTGGGCACACAACAGCTGGACTGGCAGCAGCTGGGGGCACAGCAGGTAGGCTCACAGCAGCTCTCTGGGCAGTCATCCACCTGCCAGGAGGAGTTGGTGCGGGCGTCAGAGCAGACAGACATGGTGGAGGCGGCCATGGCGGGGTTGGATGGAGGAGGGTGTGTCTGTGAGAGAGTGAGTGTGTATGTATGTGTGTGTGTGTGAGGTGTCTGGTGGCAGCATTTATACCCCTGGGCTGCTTGTGTTGTGCCTCAGCTCCTGGCTTCCTTTTCCCTGTCTGTGTTTGGGGTCAGACTGTTTTCTCACTAGTGAGGGACCATCAACAAATAATGCTGTCTGCTGTCACTGCCCCTGGGGAAACCCCACAGAGATGACCAGGTCTCATGGGAGGTGGGGATGGCAGCAGACAGGTGACCTTCTGGAGGTAGCAGGCACTGTCCTATCTCTGAAATCTTAGTGCTTGAGGCAGCTTCTGAAGCTTGGTCGAGGTGGAGAGAGGACAGCCAAAGGGTGGGATATGAAGATGGTGGCATGTGCTCCTGAACTGTTCTGTAGGACTCGAAGTCTAGGGATGTCCCTTCTGTCAGTGAGAACTCAAGGATCCCCTGGTGCCTGTGGCAGGCCTGATGGAGTCAAAGTGAGCAAGAGGGTGAAGGCTTCTGCTACATTTCAAGATGAAGTTGAACTTCTCTGGAGCCCCTGACAGTGTCCATGACATTCATGGGCCTTTGTGTCCTCTGAGCTCTGGCAGTTTCTCCTGTACCCAGGTCCTCAGAGCTCCTGTTGCCCCAGGGACACAGCCATCTGAGTCCCTCAACACCACTCTGCTGCGGGACTCAGGCACACTGAGGACAATGTATTTACTGGAGCCCAACTCAGGCACCTACTCATGCTCAGCCCTGCTCCAAGTCTTGGGGACACCCTGGGATCTGGTCACTTATCATTTCACAGTCCCTGTACTCTGCCACTTTTCTGAGGTCAAGGGCACATCCTTGGAGGTATCTGAGCTTTAGATTGTCAAATAGCTTCTCCCTCTATCAATGACAGTGTCTGGGGTGGATGAATGGGTGGCAGGGTTTGGAATATCTGTGGCTCTAATGGCAGAGTGAGATGGTGTGATAGGGTCCTCCATGCAGTCAGATGGAGAGTTTAATTTCAACCAAAGCCTGTGACTCACCAGATTTACTGAAAGACAATGACCTGCCCACTCAGGGAGCTTAGCTGATGAGACAGCTACTTGTTAGATCCTCAGGCTGAGCTGTTACAATGAGAAAGCTGTGTGCCCAACCCTGGGAAAGATCTTGAAAACTTCCACGGAATCCTGAGGGCAGCAATGACCAGTCTTGGTCAGACTCCTGGAGACCAGAGGCCATGGGTCAGAACTACAGACAGAGCAAAACCATTTTAGAATCTAAGGCAAAATAGAGACATCCCAATGAATAAAATAAAGGGATTCATGCCATCAGGAGGACTGTCACTGGGACAAAGTGGCAGCATACAGCATGGAAAAGACTTTACCAGCTGCATATCTGATACAGGGCCAATGTCTAACATACAGAATGAACTTTGAAAAATGAGCACGAAGAAAACAACACAATTAAAATTGGGTGCATGCCTAAGCAGAGAGTTCTAGAGGATATAACACATATGGCTGAAAAACACTTAAAGAAAAGTTTAACCTCCTTAGTCATCAGAGGAATGCCCATCAAACTATTCTGAGATGTCATCTTACTCCAAGCAGAATGGCCAAGGTCAACAAAACAAACAACAGCTCGTGCTGGTGAGAATGTGGGGAAAGGGGACCCACACTTATTACTGGGTAGTATGAAAACTTGTATAAGCACCATGGAAGTCAGTGTGGCAGTTCCTCAGGAAGCCAGAAACCAACCTACCTCAAGATCCAGCTGAACCTCTCTTGGATATGTACCCAAAGGACTCTACATTCTACTACAGAGACACTTGCTCATTCATGTTCATTGCTGCTCTATCATAATAGCCAGAAATGGAAACAGTCTAGATGTCCATTAACTAATGAATAGCTTATGAAAATGTGGTCCATTTACACAATGGAATGTTACACAAATGTTTAAAGATGGAACCATAAAATTCTTAGCTAAACTGATCGAGATAGGGAAAAAATTATCCTGACTGAGGTGACCCACATCCAAAATGACAAGTATGGTATGTATTTGCTTATATGTGGGTGTTAGCTGGTAAGTCTTCTATAAGGAAAGTACAGTCTGCATAACCCAGGGGTTAGGTATAGAGAAAAGTATTGGAGGCAAGGATTTCCAAAGGAAGAGAAAGTAGAATATATAGTTTTGGAAGGACAAGATGGAGCTAGAATGGGAGAATTAAACAGAGAAGGGAACAGAAGGGGAGTGAGGAAAAGACACATGGAAGAACACCTAACACTAAGGACCATTTGGGGGTCAACTGGAAACCATATATATCCATATCTTTATCTCTCTATACACACATGTAAGAACTATGAATAGATTCACCAAATAACAGTGTAGACAAAGCTCCAAATCGACATCCCTTGGCACCAAATTAAACCTCCAGTGCTGGGAATGGATCACATCTAATTGAGTTGTTGGCCAAGGGGCCCCATGCAAACCCCAAGCAACTCATGCTATTGTGAAGGCCATTGGTTGCTGTCCACAATGGAAGGCAAGGCTCTGTTGGTGAAGACAACCCTGCAGAAGTCACTGAACTCTGAGAAGTTGAGCTGGTGCCTATCCAGAGTCTTTCCTCCTACTGAGGAGGAGGTACTGTCAGGCACTCTGCATGCTCCCAGAGGACTAAGGTAAACACCAAGCTAGCTATAAACCCTTAAATCTACAAGGGTGATTTGTCCACAAAGTATACCAGTCCAAAAGTGGCACCAAACCCATGGGAGTAACCAACCACTATCTGATTAGACTTCAGACCCACTCTATGAGATAAACCCACGCAGGACCCTGCTTGGGTGGCCAAGAACCTGAGACCAGGTCGGCCATGGAAACCTAGCTCTGAAGTGACCTCTAATGGCCTCCTGCTGTGCTTGTGCACCAGTGTCTTGCTCAGCCATCATCCAAGAAGCCTCCTCTGCAGAAGATGGGACCAAATACAGAGATTCAAACTGGACAACGTGACCTTGGAGCACCCGGCCCCACATGGGACGTCCCCATAAAATCCTTTCCTCCGGGTTCAGAGAGGATGCAGAGAGATTCCAAGTGCTACTGGCAGTGGAGGACACCAAGGAAACAAAGCCTTCTGGACACCAAGATGGTGAACTCACTGAGACTGTAGCTGCTTGGAGGGAACCTGCACAGGTCTAAGTCAGACGGGGGTTCTCAGTACTGAAAGGACAAGTGGACACAAACTCCATCCCTAATTCCAAATGAGAACCACTCACAAAGGAAAAATAAGTTTTATTCTATAGAATCTCACTGGGCATAAAAACCTCACTTAGGGCATGCCCCATGCCCAGCAGTAGATGCTCAACACAAAAAAAAAACTCAAAGGTATTTTTGGAGGTTTTTGCTTTCATAATGCTTTGTCTGGCTATTTTCTTTTATATATACGTGTGTGTGTGTGTGTGTGTGTGTGTGTGTGTGTGTGTGTGTGTGTGTGTGTGTGTGTGTGTGTGTGTGTGTGTGTGTGTGTGTGTGTTTTAATTTCACAGGTCTTTGGTATATACATATATTATGTTTATATACTATATATACATATGTATATTATTAGGGTTTCCAATTTTGTGCTTTAATGGGATTTCTCTATGTGCAAAAGTGTGTGTCTCAGCACATGTATGTGTTTCTTGTGCATTTCTTTGGCTCTTTTTTTTCTGTTTTGTTTTGTCCTATTCTCATTTGTTCATGGGTTTTTATTTTTTTTATTTTTATTTTATTATTATTATTTTTTTAACAATCCAAGGAGAAGACAAAGGCCCAGAAGTGATCAGCAGAAAACCAGGACAGGAGAAGACAAAAGACTGCTGAGTCTCCACCCTGCTCCAGACTCTTTAAAAGCCAAACATTCATGGACATGTCATTATAAATCCTAGGTCTTGTGAAGGTTTATTTTTACTTATGGAAGGTTTCTGTGTAGCACCTGTGGGTGCCTGTGGAAACTAGAAGAAGGTATTGGATTCCTCAGAGCACGAGTTCTGGGTGTGTGTGAGACACCTGACATGGGTCTTGGAAACCGAATTTGGATCCTCTAATGGAGCAGTAGTTGCTGTTAACAACTAATCCCTTTCTCCAGCCCCATGTCCCTGGGTTTTTAGGATTTATACATACAATATGTACCCCAACAAGAACACCGACTGTACAAAGAACAACACATAGGAGCAATATCATTGGTGTATATTTGTGTGCATGTGTTCACATGTTTGCATGAAATCCACTCTAGCCCCACAAACTCTATGTTCTGGGAGGTCTTGGGAACAAACCCCAAATCTAACACAGCTGATCTCGGTCCTGCTGCTTCTGCATCTTCACCCAAGGCCTCCATTGGTGCTCTGTCGGGCACAAGACCACGACTCAGCCAAAAAGATGAGGCATTCTGGGAAAAAGCCACCAGAGTGAGAACTAGCAGACATTTCTAGAAACAGAATTGGATCCAATAGATGACTGATGTGGAAATGACCAGTCAGAATAAATGTAGAGGATTAAAGAACCAGATGAACATCCCAAGCTCTTTGTGGATCTCCAGTTTTATTTTATTTCACAAGAGTAAAAGGTGGCAATGGAGGGTCACCAGGGGGGGAGGGGAGCTCAGTGGAGGAGGGAGGTCACAGAGGAGGAGATCTCCATGTCAGCTCAGTTCCAAGGACCAGAAAATGGGGACAGGAGCCAGAGCCTGCTGTCTTTAACTAGGTCAGGTGTCCAGTAGCCACAAAGTGTCTCCCTGGAGCCTGTTGGGTAATGACTGCTTCAAAGGAGCCACAGAAACAGGACAACCAGTCAGTGGAAGGCCAACACTAGATGCAGCTCAGGGCAGGATGCCAGAGAGACGATCCTATACCACACACACCTGTCCCCATGGGTGGCCAGATTCTCCTGGGAGGCCTTAGAAGGCTTTCAGGACTCACAGGTCATCAACTGGTCATGGGATGGTAGCCACCATCAGGGCAGATGAAAAGTGTGGGAAT